TTAAAAAAGTTACAAAATTGCAACAAGTCAATTCTATTTCTAGAGTAAGAAAGGAAGATTAAGGAGAGAGATAGGAAGAGAGAAGAGTTATTACTCTTTAGATTAAGATTAAGGGTGAGATTAGAATTGTAGTTGGGTTTTTTCTTATAATTGTATAATATTTCTAGATATATATGTATTTGATAATTTTGTTTGGACTCTCTTTCCAAATGTTATAGGAATTCAAAACAAATTTACAGTAATTTTATATATAAAGTCAAAAATTTTATTTTGGAGTTTTTAGATTGTATTTTCATGAACAACATCTAATATTTAATATTTAATATAATTATAAAATTACTCATTAAAATTTAATCTTATTTAATTTAATTACATCATAATTTATAATACTTTAATTAAACCTAACCTAATATCTTGTTTATTTGAAGATTCCATTAAAAATATTAAATTCATTCTCTCGTTATAAGTTGCTTTCATGTGAAATTCGAAAAAAGAAAAGAAAAAAACGTACTATATAAAACCAAAAAACCCTAAATTTTTACAAAGTACTAAATTTTGTTTATTTTAATAATTATATATTATAAAATAATTTTTAAATTTTAATTAATAATTATTAAAATTTATCATATATTATTTATAATATTTTAAATAATAAATAACTACAATTTAATACAATTATAGTAGGCCAAAGCTCCTATTTGCACCATTCATTTATTTCTTTTCCGCGGTCAACACCTTTCAGAATTTTTTCTCTCTATTCACACCTTACACCTTTCAAAACCCGTAAAAAACCTAATATTTTAACGGACCGTCACGGTACCGTTAAAAAATGCACTACGTGGCACCAAAAATTGACGTGGCACATGCGGCGTTTCCTTATTCGTTAAATTCAAATGTGGATTTGCTTTTTGATGATGTAGCTTCTTTTCTGTACATGTGGACGCCACGTGTGCAGTGGGACCCACTATACAGGGCTTGTCCCTGCGTCCCCCCCACCAAAAAAAAAAAAATTTTTTGAACAGGAGCTCTGGGTTCCTCGCCGAACCCAGAGCTGGGTTCTG